AATCCACATGAGTTGCCCTTTCCAATAAGAATGAAATTCTGTTGACAGTGGCCTAGAATCTCATAAAATTGCCAAAATGGCCCTAAAAGCTTATTCTCATATTTCAGAAAAATCAGCCAAAGCCTGGGCAAGAGGGTGCACTAACCTGGGTACTTCACCAGGATGCTGTTAGGTCACCTCTGCAGAGATGGCCAAGTGTATGTGAAATGAATGGCAGGAAGGAATACTATACACTAGCCATGTAGTTATAATAAACCTCTTTCTCCAACATGCTGATGTTCCTAATTTGTAAACGAAAAGGACACTGAAGGAAAAAGAGTTCAACCTGGGAACCAAAAAATCTGAGACCAAATTTGGATGCAAAAGAGTTATGGTATTTCCAAGAATATCAAACCTGAACCAAATTCTTCTTCATCTATCAAATGAGAAAGCAATCTATACCTCAAAGTATCCTATAAGGAATAAATGTTAAATAAAATAAAATAAAGACATTGTGAATAAAAATGTGAAAGGCCAACACTGATATTGCTCGTTTACATTAGGAATTTAAAGGTATGCTAATGTGTTTCTTTTTTCTCAATGTGTTACTTACAAGCAGTACTTTTTAATTTTGGGGAAGGATCTTTTTATCTAATAAAGTATAATTCTGAATAGTACATGAATACTAGAAGGGAAGGGGCAATTGAGTTTGTGGAAATACTTAATAGGACAACACCCACAGGTAATGTAATTAGTCACCAGTGACTAGGATGAAGTCCCAAACCCTCTCTTATTGTAGAGTAACAAATATGACAAAGTCTCTAAAGATGTGGCCCTGAGAGAATATTTGCCTCCATCAATTCTTCACTTTCACTTTGAGGCATAATTTTAGCTTCTGGGTGTTTTTTTTTTTTTTCATTTGCTGAATGGAAATAATTCATTCATAATAATAGATTTGTATAAATTAAATAAGAGAATGGAAACATCACATTAATGACAGAATTCTGTATCACATCAGATCTGTAAGCCCAAGAACATCAATGACTGAAAAATATTTGGATCACATAGTGAGATAAGTAGAAAAATAATTGCTACTAGAGGACAAAACTTCAGTCCAGTAATAAGAACTCTGTTTTCAATTCTTAGTGCCGAAGTCTGGCTTGGCACAAATCAGGAGCCACTTGTCAAAAAGAAACTAACTTTATTTTTAGAACTACAAACGCCAAACAAAACAGCTCCAGGGAAAAACCCTCAGAGCCCAACTGCCACCACCGGCTTCCACAAGCCTCTCCTCACACCAACCTCACCACCTCCCACAATCCTCCTGCTCTTGAGGCCGATTGGCTGGGTCGCGTGGGCGGAGCCAAAGAAGTCCCCCAATGAGCAGCTCCGTGGAGGAGCCAATCAGCTAGATGTTGCTGGGGCCGCTGTGAGCCAATCATCAGCTGGCAGTCTGAAGGGCAGGGAAACAGCCCAATGAACATCACCGCAGAGGAGCCAATCAGCTAGATGTTGCTGGGGCCGCTGTGAGCCAATCATCAGCTGGCAGTCTGAAGGGCAGGGAAACAGCCCAATGAACATCACCGCAGAGGAGCCAATCAGCTAGATGTTGCTGGGGCCACTGTGAGCCAATCATCAGCTGGCAGTCTGAAGCTTGCTGGCAGCTGGAAGTTTGCTGGGGCCCCTTTGGCTGTGGCTCTCAACATCTTAGCGTTATTTTTCTTAGCATAAAATAACCTTTTTTTAAAAAGGAAATAATACATATGTGTATGTATGTATGTATGTTGTATGTTATGATTTAGATATGAGTTGCCCCCAAAAAGCTCATAAGAAAATTCAAGGAATTTCAGAGGTGAAATGACTGGGCTATGAGAGCCATAAGTAATCAGTGCATTAATCCACTGGTAAGGATTAACTGGGTGGTAACTATAGACAGGTAGGGTTTGGCTGGAGAAGATGGGTCAATGGGGGCATGCCTTTGGGGTATATATTTTGTCTCTGGTGAGTGGAGTTCTCTCTGCTTTCTCTTGCCATGTCCTGATCTTCTTTCCTTCCAGCATATGTTCTGCATCACCTTAGGCCCAGAGCAAAGGAGTCAACCGACAGAGACTTATGAAATCTTGAGCACCAAATAAACTATTGTTCCTTAAAAATTGTTCCTCTCTGGACTTTTGGTCTCAGAGATGGAAAAGCTGACTAAAACAGTATGTTTGTATGTACACACCACATTTATTTCTCGTTGTTAAATTATGCAATGAATGTGCCTGAAGTCACGTATTAGGATTTGTCCTCATAAATGAATTGGATCTGCTTCAAGCCGCTTACAGCAAATAAATCAAGTGGGCGATACATGAATTAAACAGAGCTCATAGTTTCAGGATATGGATAATGGTAAGGTGAGCAACTATTCCTCCATCCCTTCAGAATGTGTGAACCAAATAGTATTTTCCTCAGAAAATGATCCCCTTGGGAAGAAAATAGTGGGAGATAGTTGCAACAAAGGATGCATTAGGAGCTCACTTCACATTAAGTGAGATGACGGAAGATTAAATAAAGTTTCACAAGAAACAGTCTTAGAGACGAGAACAGCTAAAGGAGAAAATACAGAGGTCAACAGTGTAAGAAGTAGAAGCATGGTCTCCAGAGAGTCAGTCACAGCACCTCAAAGATGAAAGGATAAAATAGAGTACAATTACTGTGGGACTTTGAGATGCTTTGATGAGCTCAGAAGCTGAACTGTTAAAAGTTCTTCTCAAGTTTGGTTGCTAATGGAAAAGTGTATCAATCCTTAACAAGGTTACACTACGGAAGAAGAAGGCTACAACATTCATCCTGTGAAGCAAGCCAGAAAAATTAAGGAGGTATCCTTGATGAGGCCTGTCCCTCCACTTTCAGGTCCAATTGTTCATTAAGATCCTCTGTATTTGGGCTCTTTGATATCTCTAGAGTCTCTCCCTAGTCCAAGTTTCTAACATCTCTTTCTAGTACCACTGCAGCAAGAGATAGCGTGTCTTCCAGAGCGTGTGATATACCTCTCTCAAACCAGAACATCGTATCAGACGTAATAGCTACAGTGACCTTTCACAAACAAAGCAAATGCATGTGCCACCCTCTTTAAAACTCTTCCCTAATTACACTATTTAAAATGTAAACAAAAATCAACAACTTATTCTAAGATTGACATCATTTGTTTTCTACTCCATCAGCTTGTATGGGTAAATCCCACTCATTCTGTACTTTGTTTTCTTCATTCCATATTAGTTCCCCTTCAATATATTCTCATATCCTAATATTTTGAAAATGATTGAATTAATAATTACTTATATGGATGAGTATATGTGTTAAATACTAGTGATAAAATATTAGTGCTAAAATTTTGGTTAACTTGTAAATTGTCTGCTAAATGGAAATAAATCATTGTGATTTTTCTCAAAGAAAACTAACCAAACACTGCAACTGTATACAGAAAATTGTCCCCACACACTTTTCGCATAATCTTCATCTATACACAATTCAGAGAGCCTTTGTCAAAGTATTTTATATTCATGATAAAGTTGCTTGGTTATTTCCTGTTATATTATGATACATTTTTTGTGGGAGGTCTACCTAATTTATTATCCTTTTACTGGTCTTTCAAGGAGTTTAATTGCTTTCAATCAGGCACTATTATATGCCCACACATACCTTGTATAAACAAATCCACCACAAAGAAGAAATCTTTTCATTAGTTTTTTTAATAAAAACTCCCTTCTTTGAGCAAGTTTTTAAATTATTATTTGAATAAACCTATAACCAAGTCATTCAGGAAGTTGCTTTAACAATACTAACCTTAGATCAACTAGCCTAAATACAAGAGTACTTTAGTAGTCCAGTAAAGTACTGCTCAGATTTAACAGTGGCACTCAAGCTACCCCTCTAGTATTCCATATAAAGTCTTTTGAAAGAGACTCTGAATTTAAAACTTGTCCTTCATATTTCTTTTATTAAGAAGTTGATCATTGCTAAAATGCAATTTGATCTTACATTTTCAGAGTAATTCAAAGCATTAAGTGATTTGGTAAATCGACATGGATTACTATACTTTCTTCCATTCCTCTCTAAATCCCTGGAGAAACTGTGCCTCATTTGTATTTGCAGTGATAGCAAACAGTAGGTGCTCCATGAAAACTCATTTAATCATAATATGCCAAAACATAAGCAAATATTAGAATAATTCAATGCTAAATATTTATAGTTCAGGCATAGCATTTACATGTATATCTTACTTAATTTATACTTTTTTGTTCCAGCGATTGAACCTAGGATCACTTAACCATTGAGTTACATCTCTAGTCCATTTTTAAACTTTGTTTAAAAAATTTGAGACAGAGTCTATGTTGCTTAGGGCTTCCTTTACTAAATTGCTACGATGGTTTGGAACTCACAATCCTCCAACCTCAGCCTCCTGAGGAGCAGGGGTTATGGGTATAAGCCACCACACTTGGCTTTAGCTATGCTTTCTGTGACTAGGAAAAGTTCTATATATTTTTAAAAGTTAATTCAGCATTTACAAAGGACCTATGATTCAACATGCTGGGTCAGGAGATGGGTAGGAACAATTTTCCTGTCTAATTTGCATAGTTGCTTTCCATATAAATATGCACAATGAGAACTTTATAAACTTGAGTCAGAAGAGGAAATCAGTCCTTCCCAATATCTTCTATTACCTGTGTGAAATTGTACACCCATCACCAAAAGTCTTTAAATCCATTCATTTAGATATCTCTAAATTTTAAGATTATTCTGAATTTTTTTTCTTCTCATGGAAGCAAATTTGTAGTTATCAGTCTGCTGTGTGCCATTTAATTAGCGCATTCTACAATTATAAGGATGGAGCATGTTACTGAATCTCTGAATAATGAATTCCAACTTTTAATTAACACTATAGAGTAGAACAATATGGAAAGAACATTAAAAAAAGACTTGTGATAATTATAAGTTGAATAACACACTTTCACACTTATAATCTGCAGATCTTTTACCTCTTGAAATAACAGTTTCTAACCCAGTTCCATTAATAAAAGCCCGTTTGATGGTTTGGGTTTTGATATCAGTCCAGTATAAACGTTCTTCAGAGGCATCAAAGTCTATCACAGTAACATCATCAATATCAGGGACTGTAAAGGCCGTGATAAAGTTAAAATATGGATTGTCGATATCCACTCCTCTGATTTCAGAGCGCCTTGCGTAAAGGAGAAATTTTTTCATTTCTAGAAAAGGAATAGAAATGGAATGTTTTTCTCATACAGAGTTGACAAATTTGAAAAAGACTAGAAATTCTAAGGTATTACTTTTTAAATAAATCACACAGTTTTAAAACCAAAATAATAACAAATATTTGATAAAAACACTAATGCAGAAAACATTTATATATTCTAAATTAAGGTACTCAATAGAAACAAAGAAACAAATTACAGTCCTTCAGTCATCATTATTTAGCTAGAAATGCCAAGAAATGCTCATAATTGACCTGATTTTAAAATTTCAATCAAACTTCTTAAAATACATAAAGGCTATACATTTTTTAAAAACACATTTTTATATGATTATTACAATATTTCATTGCATTGAATGTTTTTTGAAGTAATTTATAAACATTTTTTCCTCAATTGTCACTCAATAAAATAAAATTAGTCATTGCTTTCAAAAATCCTTTTTGTGGTTCCCCCATTAAAATTAGGGCTTAACAAATTCAAAGTACAGTTTTATTGTAAGCTTTTGTAAATTTGTAGTAGCTAACACTGTGAGGGGCTGAATCATTTTTACTTCCAAAGTTATTTTTCTTGTACTGAGTCAAATAGAAATAGGAGTTACCAATGGTCTATTTTGTTTCCCTCTATGAGTTATTAATATTTGAGACATATTATTATTATATGAAATTAAAGTCACGTGTACCTAAAGTCCTGAATTAAGTTTTGCTGAATAATTCTCTTTTCTTCCCTTAATATTAAGTAATTGCTTTACAAATAAATAAGAATTACTAACAAAAAATACTCTCATTTTTATTCACAAATATCATGTTTTGACTTAAATATTTAAAAAAAACCCTTTTCCTTGTTATATATTTTACTTCATTTTATACCTTTCAGGTTAATAATCCTCTACAAAATGATGCTAAAGTGACTTTCAAATAAGAGCAGGAGATTAAAGCTGTTAAGTACTTCTTTGTTATGCAGGTTACTTACATCATCATTTTCTTATAATGCACTTTTACTTACCAAATCTCCCTGCTTTGCAGAGATAAATTCTGCTAACACACCAAATAAGAAAGTAGCAAGAAAAAAAATGAATAAGGTAATAAATAGCAAAGTGCAACATTTCACACATTTTAAAAATTTGTCACTCTCTCCAAAAGTAGATGAATCATCAATAGTGGCTGGAAATAGCAACAACTAAAATGTTTTTTTTTTTAAAGATGTTAAAATCCTCTTCTACTTTCCTTTGAGTAAGATCTAATATACTTTGAAAGAATTCAATTTGGATTTTAGGTAAGAACTGTATGAAATTTACCATAGCAGGTCTTCTTGTCTGAGGAAAGCTTCATCAGGTGGGGGCAGGCACAAGCGGCACTCCTATTATGATTGATCAGACACATGTGAGAGCAGGGCCCTTTGCCGTCATTAACTGCACAAGGATTGGGAGCTGTAATTACACAGTGAAATATTAACAGTGAAGATGGAAGAATGTATTAGGGAACCTCTGAGGTTGACAGGGGTTATTCACTTCATGATTCAAGGTAAAGGTTCCCATGTAACACCTATTACTAGGGTGATTAATATGACGATAATAGGCAATCACACACAGCTGTTACCTTACTAAAAACATTCTTCCCCCCTCAAAGATAACAAGAAAGACAACTTCCTTAATTTCCTCTAGGATAAAGAGCCTTAGACGAAAAGGCTTTCAAAGGTTTTGGTCTGACAATCAGGAATAATTACTAAATCTTATATTTAATAAACTCACATAGACTATAAAATAATCTGGTCATTAAGAGTTTCAATGAATGCTATTATTTTCCTAATCTCCCTTTTTGCTGTACCATAAAACTCCCACAACTTTCGTAGGAAACTGCTCTTACATATACACCCTGACTTCAAGTCCCTTTTTTATTATGATTTATTTTTCTGTATCAACTGATTTTATGAGGAAGTTTGCCCCATACACATACTTGCTAAATTTCATTGTATAAATAACTCATAATATTTTCAAATTTATCATGGGATATCAAATTTTCATTTCCAGGTCATGGTCTTATTGTTTTGTGTTTCTTGTTCTATCTTGACTATTGAATAAGATTTTACTTTCAATTAAGCCATAACTACTTTTTCTCCCCTGTGGTGCTGAGGATTGAACCCAGGGTCTTGTGCAGGTGAGACAAGTATTCTACCAAATGACCTATATCCCCACCCCCCAATAACTACTCTTTAATCTTATTTTTAAAAGCCTATTTAGTAGAGTAAGGGTTTTTTTTTGTTTGTTTTATTTTGTTTTGTTTTTGTACTGAGCTACTAAATTGAAGGAAGAAAAATTAGACCTTCAGACCTCACCAGGAATATTTCAGTTTTGACTAATGCATGTTATCTTTTTAACAGGCAGACCTGTTGCTCTGAGGAGTGACAGGGTTCAGGACATGCTACCCCCAAATATGTCACCTTGCCCTATTGAAAAACGGCAGAGGCAGAAAGGGCTCTCTGACCTTCTCCTCATCCTTCTTTCCTGAGGCAGGTCATAAAACTTATAAAGGATTTCTAACTTTTCCCTGAAGCAGTTGATGAGAATCTCATGTATGAATTGCACTCCACATACCCAGAGGAAAGAAAGAAGTCTATCCTCATTTCTGAAAAGGCCTCAGAAAAATCTGAACAAACAGGTCTTCCTAGGTTCCCCCTAGCTTATTACCATTAGCTCTAACCACCTGTGTTTTATTTTAATTCTCCATAGCTGCCTAGTGTTCATCAAACCTAGCATAAAAATACACAGATTTTACCCATTTCTTTGGACCTTCATTTCCTCCTGAAGGATCCTTATCCATAAAACCTTGTATGAGACTGGGTTTTTCTCTTTTTAATCTTTTATTATAGTGACCTTAGACAAGAACCTAGTATGGGTAGTGAAAAAGGATATCTTTCCTCTATGACAACAGTTACAATTAGTCTTCTAAGGTTTTGAAACACAAAGAATAAAATTATCAAGGAACTATGACTTTAGAGGATATATGAAATAACTGAATTTGATAAATAAACAGTGTGGATTAGGCAATCTGCTGAACTCCCCATATCAAGGTGATAAAAGTAATGCATCTCATTGCATTTGTTAAAAAGAACAAATAAATAAAGATCCCCAAAGAACTCTATTCTCCTAAGAAAATCCATTAATTTAACAACAACAAAATATTAGCAAAAAGCAAAAAGTTGTCCTGGAGATTCCTTAGTGTGATTCACACAGAGAAAGCACCAAATAGTATGCTCTTTCTTACCATTTAGTTTTGTCTGTTGTAATTTGAGTCCCTACGGGACTTCAGTTTCCCTAAACTATATTGCAGGAGAGGAGGTCAAAGAAGAGGTGAGGTTAGAGAACTATTAGGGTTACTCATGTGACAGGTAGCAAAAAGACCCTCAAATTTCCCCCCTCTTGAAAAAGAAAAAAGAGAATGAGAAAGAAGAAGAACAAAAGAAGAATGAGGACTAAAGGAGAGGAAAGCAAAAGAAAGGAGAAGAGATTGATTCAAAAACAATGATTCCTCTTAGGGAAATTAAAAGCAAAATTTATGACAGTAAAATGACAGGTACTTGAATTTCACTTTGTATATAATTGTTTTTAGCCTAGAATCATACCACCTGTTAGCATGCTACAATTATGATAAAACCCATTTTTATAATTGAAGATATTAAACTATATGCATAGAAAAAATTACATTGACTTTGTAAATCAGTATCTATATTAATAATAATACTGTAATGTATAAGTCATAATATTTGATGCTTCACAGCTTGAAAAATTCTCAAAAAATTTTTAGTTTCCCTTTTTTATCTTTTCTCACTTTGACATAATGGCAGCACAATTAACAATAGCTAAACTCTGAAACCAACCTAGATGCCCTTCAATAGATGAATGGATTTTAAAAATGTGGCATATATACACAATGGAATATTACTCAGCAATAAAAGAGAATAAAATTATGGCATTTGCAGGTAAATGGATGGAGTTAGAGAAGATAATACTAAGTGAAGTTAGCCAATCCCCCTCAAAAACAAATGCTGAATGTTTTCTCTGTTATAAGGAGGCTGATTCATAGTGAGGTAGGGAGAGGGAGCATGGAAAGAATAGATGAACTCTAGATAGGGCAGAGGGGTGGGAGGGGAAGGGAGGAGGCATTAATAGAAATGATGCTGGAATGTGATGGACATTATTATTCAAAGTACATGTATGAAGACACGAATTGGTATGAACATACTTTGAATATAACCAGAGATATGAAAAACTGTGCTCTATATGTGCAATAAGAATTGTAATACATTCTGCTGTCACATATAAATAAAAAATAGTAAATATTTTTTTAAAAAAAGAAATAATAATGTTAAATATTTAAAAAATGTTCTTTCTAACCATTCATTTGAACACAGCTGTCTATTCAAATTAGTAAATTAAGGAATTTGGCTTAGAATACTCACATTTGAACATAAGGCAGGGATTAACAGATGGTGCTCCCTGGTCTAAATTGAGTATGCTGATGTTTTTGTAAATAAAGTTTTATTGACATATCCATGTACATTAGTTGCCATATTATCTAGGTCTTTTTTTACATTACATGGCAGAGATTACCAGGTTCAGCAGAGACCATATGTTTCACAAAGGCTTATATTCATTACCTAATTCTACAGAAAAGGTTCACATACCCTTAATATAAAGCAATTAACTATTTCAAAAAAATTACCCATTATGGTTTGGTTATGAAGTGACCCCAAAAAGTTGATATGTGACACAATGTAAGAAGGTTCAGAGGTAATATCATAACATCTACAAACTAATCAGTGGAAAAATCCACATGAATGGATTGACTTGGTGGTGACTATTGGGAGGTAGGATGTGCCTAGAAGAAGCAGGTCACTGGAGACATTCCTTTGAGGTTTATGTCTTGTCCCAGATAAACCAGGCTCTCTCTGCTTCCTGTTTATCATGTCCTGAGCAGCCTTCCTTTGCCATGCCCTTGTACCTTGAGGGCCTCACCTCAGGCCCAGAACAATGGAGTCAGCTGACCATGAACTGACCCTCTGAAACCCTAAACCAAAATAAAATTTTCCTTCTCTAAATTATTCTTTGGGTCTTTTTGTTAAAGCAATGCATAGCTGACTAAAGCAAATAATACTGAAATATCTAGTATATATACAGAGGTTGTGAATTCCTGTAAGACCAACAATGTTCCATTACATTGATCTTTCAAAATAGAATGCTATATGCAGTCCTAATTGATGAAATGCAAATATACCTGGCAGCCTGGATTCACTGATAGTTTATATGGTCTAAACTCCAGGTGAACAAACAAATAATCTTAGATGCCCTGTAGCACCCTCCACCTTTTATTTACACGTTGTATAAATATTTACAAAACACCAAACATGATGAAAAGAGCTGATAGATGAGAGCAGACAAGACAAAGAACTCCCACCAAGTAGCTTAATTTTCTATACCTTAACCTTGTCCTCCATTCTCTCCAAGTCTCTGGTCCCTGGTTTGTTTAATCAGATTCTCCATCTCCTCCCTCAGTTGGAACAGTAAACTTCTAACCACTTTCTTCATTTCTAATCTTTATCCATACATTTAGTTATCTTTCTAAAATACAGACTTGACTATATATCTGATTAGCCTAACAATTTTAGATAATTTCCCACTCTTTCCCTTACAAAGTCTCATCCTTATCTCCAACAGTCCTCCTATGACTCCTCAGCACTAGTCAGATTGGTATACCTGATACTCCCATTCACCCTCCAATTCTTTATCCTAGTCTATTATGTTTACTTTTGTTAAAGAAGTCACCAGTCTTCCAAGCAAACATTCTCACTTATCTTTCTCAAACATACCTAATCATTTGTCAAATATTGTCAGTTTCCCTAATACATGTTTCCATTTTTTTTCCTCTTCTCCAACAAAAAAGTGTTATTTCCCTCATCTTTGAATGATGGCTACAGCCATGTAACTGGTACTCTGTGGTACAGCCCCAAATATACCACACTGTCTTTCTAAAATACTAACCTGTTTTCCAGCTTCAGATACCAGTTTCCTTCTATATACATATTATGTACACACTCAAATGGATTCTTCATTGTTTCCTGAAAGCTTATAGCTTGTCTTTTTCACACGTCCACCTCATCATTTTTTTCCTCTTAGAATTCCATCAACATATTAACATTAACCTTCTTCATGATATAGTTCAAATCCTTTCTCTGCCATGAAACATTTTCTAATGAAGCCAGAGTTGCTGATTTTTCTACTTTGGAATATTAGTTGTTAACACTGATGCTACAAAACTTAAGATCATTTACTGTTTAATGTCATATTTTGTCCTCATCTCCTTTCTTTCCTTCTTTTTGCTTTCTTTCTTTTGGTGATGCAAAATTGACCTAGGGCTTCCTGCTTGCTAAGTGTATGCACTATCATTGAGCTACAATCCCAGCCCATGCTGTTTTCTAATTTGTGGCATATATGCATGTGCTTTATATCAATATATACTTATCTCTCTAACTAAAACATTGATTGGCATTCTTTTTCTGGAAAAGGCCAGATAGTCAATATTTTCACTTTTGCATGCCTTATGCACTCAGCAGTAACTACTCAACTCTTTTTCCATAGCACAAAAGTAGACATGAGGAAATGGTTAAATGAATGTCTGTGGCTACTCTCAAAGAAAAGTTTATTTATAAAACAGAGAGGGCTAAATTTAGACTGGGGGCTATAGTTTGTCAGTCTGAGCTAGATATATTATACTGGTAGGAACTATGACTTATATACACATAAATTATTTTTTCTTAAAATTTCTATGATGAAGATTATTGTCAGTCTTAAGAACATTTTAATTCATATGCCTACTCATGAATGCATGTTAGTATATGCTCCAAAATGGCAGCAATCTGAAAATTAGGGAAGTGAATTAATCTTCTAAAGCATAGCTGTAGGTAAAAAAGATTCAACAATGCATAACTATAATATTTTAAAGGAGAACCAAATGTTAATTATGCAATCCCACAAGACTGATGTGTATTCTGTGAAGAAAATAACATCATTAAAGATAATTTCTTATTTCATGCAACCTATGTTTAATTACAGTCCATTTCTCATCAGGAAAAATTAAACATTTTAAAGCCAAACAATTGGTTTATCGAGTAAATTCAAACAAAATATATGCAAATGTTGATGTAATATAAAATATGTATGATATTTATTTCCCTAATATAGCTAAGTTCAAGGGAAAAGAATGCCAGAATCTAATTTGTTAGATGAGAAGATTTTTCTCCATCCAATGTAGACATTTTTTATATTAATAATGAAGCTTAATGAACTTATTGGTAAACAAATAATTACTAATATAAAGTAATTTACTCATATTAGCAATTTTACTTTAGAAATGGATTTAATATTTGAAAAGAATAAAATTTTTAGAAGCACTTTGCAATTAAAAACTAATCTCTTGGGCTGGGGATGTGGCTCAAGTGTAGCGTGCTTGCCTGGCATGCTCAGGTCGCTGGGTTTGATCCTCAGCACCACATAAAAATAAAATAAAGATGTTGTATCCACCGAAAACTAAAAAAATAAATAAATATTAAAAAATTCTCTCTCTCTCTGTCTCTCTAAAAAAAAACCACTAATCTCAATTCTTGTTTTCAGGAATTTGATGCAAACATCATCATACAAGAGTTTTGACATTTGACAATGGAAAATTCAAGTGCATTTCTTTATTTATTTCTTTATTTACTTACATACTTACTGTTTTGAGACTCAAATCAAGAGCTGTGCACATGCCAAATACTTGAACACAAATCTACACCCCTTTGCCCTGATTCCTTATTTAAAATATATACATATAAGAAAATATATGCAAGTAAAGGATGTTCTTATTACTTTATTTTTGCCAGATTTCAGTGATACTAGGTATGATGCAGCAGCTATTTTCATCACATTATGTCATATTTTATGGATTAATTTTATAATGTATTCAACTTTTATGAAACATAAAAAATGCCTAAAACTCTTATCTGATCTTCCACAGATATCTATACACACAGGGATAATTTTATAATGTGAAAAATTACTATTTCTATTTATTTTTGTACAATTCTTTTAAAAGTTTGAAAATAAGCTATCATTTTATAGGTGAAGTGACTCCTAAAATACTGATAAATTTCCAATCATTCTAAAGGAGTAACTTATCTTTCTGGTATCTTTATTTGTTGTTTGTTTCACTTCTTAGGCATTTTGAAAGAAGCAACACTTTTGACAAGGAAGTTTCCTCCATCATTATAGTGAATTTTAGCATTTAAAAATAGGATATATGTCAAATTAAATAAGTCTCCTACCAAGAGTATACAGATATATGAAATAAGGGGCCAAGGACCTGATTCAGTGGTAGAATTCTTGTATACAAAGTGAAAGACCCTGAGTTTATTTTCTAGCAGAAGGAATGAAGGTGAGGGAAGAGAAGGGAGGGGAGGGGAGGAAATAAGGACGGTGGGGGAGAAAAAGAGAGAAGGGAGGAAGGAAACACTATACAGTGGGGAGAACCATATTTTTAAGCATAAGTAATGTACATGCTAATAAATAAATGTGTAAATGAATATGAATATATATGAGATTGGAGAAAAATATGGTTGATATGAAGCTTGTTAGTTCTTGACAGAATGAACAATAGAAGGTAACAATTTATACAGCCTACAAATATTTATAACTCTCCTCCACCATGTTATTTCAAATGGCAATGGTATTCCAAAAAGGAAAATAATAAATTTGAGATTTGTGAAAAGAACATTGGTAAGAATAGTGAAGGAGACAAAACCACAAACCAAGAAGGAGATTGCTATTGAATCACTAGGTGGGATTCATGGGAAAAGGAAACAACACAGTCATCAACTCACTTCTCTTGAAATGGAGGAACTCAAGGAAATAGTACATTCCTTCTCATAAATCATTCTCTACTCTCAGTGGCTATGAGTGTGTGTGGGGAGCATAGATATGTTCTTGGTGTTCTCTAATATTGACTGGTCATTATATTTAGGCAATAGATTCCAAACTCAAAGACTTTATACAACACCCAACAATGTTTTTTTTTTTTTTGATGCAATGATGGTGACTACCAATTGGAGGACTTAGTGTAAAACCTTTAGTTTTTAAAGACTTGCCTATTTATTTCTATGTGAAGAAAAGTAGAAAGAGAAAAAGAAGAATCCTGATCTAATATAAATAAAGGCTGAAATCACTTCCATTATAGTATACACATATATAATATTAATTGTTGTTAACTTTCAAAAGTTATTTTACAGTTAACATATTATGTAATAAATATGAAAATCTAGGTGGTGAACATGTGACATGCACTTACCCTGTGGCTGACGACTGGGATGATATATCTGAAGGTCAAAAGGCTGTGCACTGGTTTTCTGAATCACACTGACATTCTGTCCTGTCCATTTATTGGCTTTGGACAATGTGTTGGTTCTCCAATCTGTCCAATAGACTTCACTCCCATATAGAGACACAGCAAAGGGATGAGAAAGATATTCATGGCCTCGGATGATTTCTATCATGTTTGTCCCATCATAAAGGGCTGAGTAGATAGCATCTGACCTAGAAAAATGTAAATATATCAGTAGTTGATCAAAGCTCAAATAATCCAAAAATATAATCATGTAATTCAAATAAATGACAGTAAATATTCTGTGAATATTTTATGGACCTGTATCTGATTTGTCTAAATTTTTAATAATCACTAATTTTAATGTCTCTACATAACTGTATATTGAACACTTATCAATATTGTTAATATTAAATGAAGAAAGTTAAAGAAAATATAGAAAAGAGATCATTTTTAAACCTGGCATCTGTCCAAACTATCCTTTTCTCAAAGTGGTCCACAGTTAGTCCATTAGGCCAAGCCCCAGTTTTCATGTCTTTGTAGATTGTTTTTCTTCCAGCACCACTCATAGAGGCAGATTCGATGCGAGGAAAATTGGCATCCCAATCTGTCCAGAAAAGAATTCTGAAGAAAAAGAAATAATGCTCTTGTTTTAGTCAGGCATTTCCCAAATACTAAATGAATACCTACTATATACTCAGCACTTGGTAAGTGAAAAATCACAGGAGAAACAGTGTAATATCTCTCCTAGAGGCTTAGTATCCATAGCAAGATACACACTAAATCCGTTCATGAATATAGAATTACAACCTGTAAAATATTTTGAAGGATAAAACTGCTATGAGAGAGAATGGAAGTCAAGTGCCAACTTACAGGTGGCAATCAAGGAGAAACACTTTCATGGGCTCATGTTATGGTCTCTTATTTTTCCTCTGAGGAGGTGATATTTTGAAACCCACTATGGGATAAGAATTTTAGAAATAATTACAGATTCATGGACAGTTTTGGCCATGAATAAATTAAACTGCTGGGAAAGAATAAAAGTGAACAGTAACATCCCAAAAGACTAGATTTTAATTAATAATGTTGAAATTGGGTAAGGGATATAAGAGAGCTTACTATTCTTCTCATTTGTGTATTTGATCATTTCTATAATCAAAGTTTAAGCATAAATGCTTTAAAATAAAATAGACAAAATATTTTTTATAATGTTATGAGGGCATTTATTAAAAGGTTATTATTGTTTTTTTTCCTGAAAAGATGAAAGTCTACTAAAAAGATCTTTTGGATGAAAAAATAGTAGTTATCTAGAAACATTTTACTATTATATAATTTATATGTAAAAATAACCCCCAAATAATATAATGTGGTGCCATTTAAATACAGAGTGCAACAAAGGTTAATTAGCATAAGACTGATAGGCTCTTCAATTAAGTTGTTAAATGTCTTTCTTGAAATCAATGAAAGTGAAATGGTCTCAATGTAATTTTGGATGCACGTATCTTTCATTGTCACCAGGTCATTATTTGTCATCTTTTCTTTAAAATAGCTTCAGAAAAATATCATTTAAAATAGAAATAAACACCAACACAGCATCAATCAAATTTATGGTGAGAGCTTGATAAACAAAATTAAGTGGAGAGGCCTGTGAGTTTAAAAAAAGGAAAAATAATCCCTGAAAACAAGTTTAGTGAATTTTGAGAGTCATAGGTAGCCTCAGAGTAGTTGTGGAAGTGCCATACCAGATTTGGGTAAGACCAGTTCTCAACACTCTACAATGATAACATGAGACTCCTGAAGTATCTTTTCCCTGTATAATAAAAGAGGAATTATTGTCTCCCTCTTTCTATTCAGTGAAGCCTCAGTTGAAAGTTCAATTCATGTGTCAGTAGCCCTGCAGTTCTGCATTTTCTATACTTAGCTTTCTCAGATATAGGCACGTGGTCTTTAAAACATATTTTTTTTTCCCAGTGGGGAGAAGAATATGGCTTGTGACACTTTGCAGCATTCTATACCTAAATGAGCCCTTCATTTTTTTCACTAAACATTCTGGAGTTAGTAAGCTTCTAATGGTACTAATGGTACTAATCTGTGAATAAAATAAAACTAGTACTAATGGTACTATTCTGTGAATAATTTGGGTAGGAAACTTTCAACACTTTATATAAAATAACATGTTCTAGAATTAGTTAGGCTAAAATATTCTTGATTTTGTCACAAGTCAGTGCATACAACCAATCTTAAGGGTTGAATTCAAGGATCATTGTTCCCTAAAATTCGGGGCACTTTTTGGTATCCTATACAATGAAGCATTTTAACAAAATCATTATTTGTTATTTCTTTCTTATTATATGGTTAAAATATATTAGCATTTCAATAAGTGCATTATTTCCTTAAATATACAAAGACTGAATATCTCTTTGAACAGGGCATATTGAAATGTTCAGCCACAATTGCTTTTTAAAAAGAAACTATAGTCCCAGGATTCTGCAGTTTCTGCAATCATGGGCTACTCTTGTGTTTGGATTAAATTGAATCAATGGACCATGAACAACTTGTACCATTATAGGCATGAAAAGGACATTATCATCCAGCAGGTCAAGCTGCAGAAGGTTAAAAGAAATGATCTTTGCAAAAGCAAAGAAATATTTATCTATAATCTTTGGGTCATCTAAAACCAACAATGGGTAGAAAATAGTTTTTTTTATAGAATATTTCCAGATAAAATCAAAATGTTATTTAGATATCTCACTAATCTTCAATGACTAATTCTGCTTTAACCAGAGAAACTGTAATAGCAGAACCCATAACTGAAAACGAAATACTTGTAATACAGCAGGAAGATGCCAGGCAGTACCAGAGAATAAAGGCAATGGAAGTTCAAGAACTGACCTGAGTACCCTGCTGGTGCCAGCTACTCCCTAATAATAGCTTCATGTTTAAAAAGGATTCCTGTATTCTTTCAGGTCACCTTAGCAATAAGTGCAATATCTTACAACGGAATGAAAGAAAACTGCCTCCTCCCTAAGAGTCCCAATTTACCATTTTAGAATGGCTTGTCACTTGAGACACTGAGTCAAAATCTAAAACACTGGAGGAATGTGGCATGAAGGCAATATGCTCTATCACCTAGAAGGAAGGTCAGTGGATTTGATACTAAGGAAGTAAAGTAGTTGATTGAAAATACTTCTTAAAGCTACAGCAATGCTTTAAGGTGTTCACATAAACTTCATATCTTAATCATGTCAATATTGTATAAAATAATTTTGTTAAAAAGTGTCACAGAGCTCTTGACTGCTGTAGCAACTTCACATGAACTAAGTATATTTCATGGGGCTCATGTTATAGTCTCTCTGTCTCGCTCTCTCTCTCTCTCTCTCTTTTCTCCCATGCTAAGGGAGCAAAGTGGCTAGCTGCAAACCTTTCTTTTCCTTTGTCATGGTAAATAGTTTATAGAATTTCCCATTAGCTGTCTTATACTGTGCACTTTGTTCTCTAAAGTATATTTTTGAGTTCTTGTAAGTTATACCTAAACAAAGTCCATACATGTGCATGTATTCATTTGTTTAAGAATCATTTATTGAGCACCATTATATATGCCAAGAGCTATGGTGGATTTCATAGACTTGGAAATAATTTCTCTCACCATGAGAAAAGCTTAGAATTTAGTAGGAAAAATGATAGTATTTACACAAATTATACTTCTCAAAAATTATCCAGTACATTTCTCCTAAAATACAAACTTTCAAAAATAAGTTTAAATGCCTTTTTTGGAGCTCCTATCAATGCTGATTCACAGCTTCCTTATATATTTCTTGAATAACTTGAGAAAAAAGGGAAAATCATACTCTTCTATTTTGCATAGTATGAAGGAAGTAACTGAATTTAAGTAAAATGATTTTTCATTGTTCTTTTTCTTATGCTTAGTTTGACTTTGTTGTTAGTGTGTATCTATGTATGTGTGTTTGTATATGCATGGGTGTTTATTGCTCCTATGTTCTCAGTCTACCTTATGAAAGGATCAATGTTTAAAATAATTTGAGAATGTTTTACTGAAATATCTAATAAACTGGAAACTATTGTAACATGTGCAATAATTTTATAAATGTAATTGCTACAATGATGCTTCGAGGTGTTCACCTAAACTTCATATCTTAATCATGTCAATATTGTACAAAACAATTTTAATAATAAAAATCCCATCTAATCATGACAGTCAAATCGGTCAACCTTTCAATTAATTCTTAGACTAGAATGGTTTAGTACTACTACCTGAACTTTGGTCATGTATTTCAGAAACAATTTTGTGTTATTCCCTCACCCTGCTTTTAAAAATTACTTTATTACCACTGTAATTATCTTAAATAATCTCACAATTGTAAAGCAGCAGCTGGTGAGGGAAAGCACCATCTCTCTCAGGGCCATCATCAGGTTTTCCCTCTTCACTGACTAGCTCAGTATCAGCTAGCTCTCTCCTCTGAGAGTGCAAAAGAATCTGGAGATCTCTTAATATCATGGAAATAGTGTTTGGTAATTTCATTTAAATAGTAGGTTGTGTGTGCATTTTGTTTCCAAGTTATTTTTTCTCCTATTAGGTTAGATATTCTCAGATAAACTAAGTCAAACAGGTTTATCCTAAGCATTATTAATACAATGCTATAGAAAATGAAGTATCACCCAAATCTCATGGATTGGTTTTTTGTTTGTTTGGTTGGTTGGTTGATTTTGGCCATACCATTTACAAAACTTTCATAAACCTGTAATTTTTTTTCTTTTTTTTTCTGTCTGTACCATTTTAATTTGAGAAGTAGTCACATTTTACATTCTCTTTGGGCATATGTGCTAGAACTACATCTTTCTCCAAATGTCACTTTTTCATTGTATAGAATATTTATCATGCACCTAATATGTGGTAAGTGGAATGTGATGGCACATACCACACCTATAAATACTGCTACTCTGGAGGCTGAGAAAGGAGGGTCAGAAGTAGTTTGAGGCCTGCCTCACCTAACTTAATGAGACCCTGTCCCCCCTGCAAAACTAAAAAAAACAAAAGGGCTGGTGATACAGCTCAGTGGTCACTTACTTAGCATGTGTAAGACCCTGTGTCCAATCATTAGTACCAACAAAAAGAAAAAAAAAAAAAGAAAAGAAAAAAGCTAAAAGTACATATCCTCAGGTTAACCTGAGGATAAAACTATTAAACATGAAAACCCTCTGTGGGTAGTATAGGATCAGGACCAACAGTCTACTTTTATCTTGGGGATAGACTGTTGAAACATAATGGCACTTCACTAAACTTAAAGGTCTTTTCAGGTGAACTGTTGTAACAAGCAGGTATTGAGTGAAATGGGTGAAGGTAGATTGGGTAAACTAGAGAAAACACCTTGGGCCTAAAAGAAACCTCCATTTCTCAGTTCAATATTGCCAGATCTCCCTAGTTTCTAAAGAAGCTAGAAAATCAGGGATTTTTTTGCAAAATCTTTCAACATTTTAAATGTTGGCAACTGATTCAAAGAAATTTCAAACACCGTGGAAAGTAAACATCCCAGTGAGGGTTACCAACTTGGAATATCCTCTCTAGAGAAGCTGTTTTGCCCCTTTAGCTTCTGCTTGAGTTGAGAAAAGGAAAATAAACTTCCCAATCTATTAGTTTCTGAATCTTGGGCAGAGACCAAAGCAAAAGCCAGAGTATGGCCAGAATGCTTACTTAGGAAACTCTTCTCTTTTCTGTATCTCACTAAACTCCCTCTTGACTCACTCTGCTCTCTCATTGATACTTCCTAGACTTTATATTGCTTAAAGTTAGAAAGCAAAAAAGTAATATTTTTTTTCTGATACTCTTTGGACTTGACAATGGCTTAGGATTTGCAAACTAATTACTAGGGAAACAAATAACAGAAATTACAACATCTTCCCATATTAGTTAAAAATTATTTGCCTTAATCTCTTCAAAAAAAAAAAAACTAATGAAGACGATAATATCCTTAATTTACACAAGAGAAAACTGGAATCTAAGAGAAGATAATACAAATTATTTTCCCAGAAAATAAGTGACTGAGTAGGAACAGAAACTCACATCTTCCAACTCCAAATCTGTTCCTTCAAAAAAGACCAATCAAGGGAACTCTGGGCAAATATACTGCATTATGCAACATTTAACCTTTGTTTTCCAGAATCATGTATTTTGTCTTTCAAACTAACCAAAAGTTAGCATCACACTGCTGGACTCCTTCAAGCTTAGTTTAATTTTCCTTTAAACTGACTCCAAGAACATACAAAATAAATAAAGGGTGAGGGGTTAACATCTGTGACAATTTAGAACAAAGACTAGCCCTGTGGTTTACAACCATTAGAAACAATTACAGCATCTCTTTGGCAGGGGCAAAGAGAAATTCATTAAATTACTGCTTTGCAAAAGAGTTGCAATAGCTTCCAATAGGGCCTAATGCCCATATTTTGAAGACAGACATGTCCAGCTTCTAAAAGGAACTATGTAAAGAATCCTTTAACCAAACTGTGGAAATAAACTTAAGTTTGTTGTTAGACTGTATATACAAATATATACATAAATACAAAGTTATACACACATACATATGTATGTACAAAATAAGTATTTTAACTAACAAATTATGAATAAATGAATTCAAAAATAAAATGAAAGTATATATATATATATGTGTATGCATATATAAATATGAACATATATACATATGTATATATAGTTCCAGTAGCCCAAAATTATATAACTATACATAATTGTAATAACATATAAATATGTGTTATATAATTAATATGTAAAATATGTGATATATATATATATATATATATATATATATATATATATATATATATATATATGCTTTTTTGGGGGGGGGTATTGGAGATTGAAGCCAGGGTTATATTACCACTGAGCTACATCCCCAGTTATTTTTCTTATTTATTTTGAGACAGGGTATCCCTAAGTTTCTGAGGCTGTTTTTGATTTGGGATCCTCCTGACACAGTGTCACAAATCACAGGAACATAGGCAGCCAGCAATGCAAGATTATAATGTTTTTGCCAAAGTGAATCTCTAAAAGTTAAACTTCTTTACCCATATCTTGGGTCCAAAGCAATGGCCCTAGGGTGCTCCATGGCTCCTGCTATTAGTGTAGTTCTGAGGGAACCATCCAGTTTGGCCACTTCGATTTGATCCAGATTGCTGTCTATCCAGTATATGTTGCCTGCTATCCAGTCAACAGTCAGGCCTTCTGGGGTAGCCAGGCCATGCTCCACAACCACCTCTATTGCAGTGACACCTGAAAAGGAAAGGAAAGCAACATGTGGATCCTTTCAAGGAATGTGTAAAGAACAAAGGAAAATGTCTACCTGAGCTCCACAGTACAAAGTACTGAAACATTATTTCACCTTTGAGAGAGATTGCAAAAGTGTTACCTGGCACAAAGGAAATTAAGGATCCCCAAATTTAGAATTACTGATCTTCCTCACCAGAGATATTTAATCCTATCAACACCAGTGCAATGGGATTTTTTAACAAGGGAGGTTGCAAAAACTGTTAGTTTTTTTGTTTCTACCTTTGTAGGAAGAACAAGGGATTGTGGAAACAATAAAATAGCTCTTTAGAATTAGTGCAATTTAATTCAAATGTTGTTCTTCAAGAGTAGAGTAAAATGAAGAGAAAACGTCTACCTTAGGCAACATATATCAAAGCTAATAAACCTCCATAATTTTTCTCTTTTTGGAAACATGACAATAACAGAGCTATTATTGTACTTAATAAAGATAAGCCCAAATCACATACTCCTCCTCAGGGTACAAGACCTCAAGGATATAACAAGGATACAGTAAGAGAAAAAGCACCAGTGTGCAATGAAATAAAAATAAACAATTTAGTAATGTCTACAAATATTTGTATTTATCCAGCACTTAATTTTTTTTACAGATTTTTTTTAAGATTTCATTTTGCAACCTTTTCTTTTCTTTTTTTTTTTTTTTGCTGTGCTGGGGGATTGAACCCAGGGCCTTGTGCATGCCAGACAAGCACTGTACCAACTGAGCTGTATCCCCAGCTCAAGATTTCATTTTATAAGCACTTTCCTAATTGAATAACATTGGAGTTTATGATATTACTAGGAACTTTTGTTAGATATTTTAACAGTGTTTTTTTTTAAAAAACTTTTAACCAACTAATTCCATGGATTTAAATTCAACATTTTAAATCAAATTGTGGTAATATGACATACAGCACAAATTCATACATCATAATTAAATTGTTTAAATATTGGTATTTCTCAAAATTGCAAAGACAATTTAGGAAAGAATTAACAATTTGATGAAAATACTGTGCCATTGGAACACTAATTTTCGGAGAAATATTGTATATATTTATCTCAAAACCTTGCTACTTAAGAAAGATCTAATTAAGACAAAAGAGCTAAATCAAACTATAGCAAAAATATTTAGCTCATGTTAGTGGATTTTTGTAATAAGGTTTTCATTATTCTTTGAATTATGTTGAAAGATAGTGACAAAATAAGAAACAAATTATACTACTTACAGAAAAGTTTGACTGCTAGTATGCAGAAATCATCCCTTCCCACATGATAAATAAATATATTCACCATAAATCTATGGGGAGTCCATACTGATAATGAGGTGAGCAGTGGGGCCAGTCCTATCCCCCCAAATTTCTTCACATCTGTGCCTGACCTCCGTGATTTAACATATGTAGTAGGGATATAAATGTCCAAAGTAAAAAATGAACCAAAATTCTTTTTGACCACAACATAGTTTTTTAAATTTTTTCACTTAAAAAGAAACTTAAACATTAAATAACATGTTAGCATATTTACCTCCACTCTCTGAAAGCTTGCCCCGGTATATCCTGTCTTCTACAACATCTGTCCAATAAAGTAAACTTTGATTGAAGTGAAAATCAAGTGCTATGGTGTTTCTCAATCCAGGAACTAGTAGACTATAGTCTCTTTTATGAAGATCAATTCTTCGAATTTCATGGCGAATAGAAAAGATGATGAATGCTTCAAAAGGATCTGAAATTAAATTTATTTTTAATAGGCTTAAGAAAATATTTATATACTTCAAGTAAATGAAATAAAATGTCTGAGGTAAAATCCATTCATTTTAAAGTATAATTGATTTTATACTTCTCTATCTCTTAAGAAGCAATTTCTTTCATTCTAACATTAAAAAGAAATTAGAAAACCTTGGGTATATACATATTCATTAAAATAAATGAATAAAAAGGATGCATACTCATTAATATGCTTTTATTTATTGAATTTGTATACCTAATTCTGATGAAAAAAAATACCAGTATAATTTAAACAAAAGACAAAATGGAAGATATTCTGTTTACTTAGATATTTTCACCAAAGCTCAGATACAACACAATATAGATTGAGAAAAACTGACTAAAACTAACTCTGTCATTCATAGCTAATCACATACTTACAGATCTACTAAGGGGAAAAGTAAAAAAAAAAAAAAAACAAAAAAAACCCCAGACTTTTATGAAGAGAGTTACTGGATTTATAATTAAAGTGCTTTCCACAGGAAGGGAAGAAAGAAGCTTACTATATACTTCCCCACTAGGTTTTCAGCCACAATCAGGCCTGAATCAGGAAAAAAGGAACCACCTTTGAAAACAAATTTGAGGTTACTTTTTTGGTTACCTAATAGAAAAAATGGATCAATACCTAGAAGTTACTAAAATTATAATTTAAAAATGTGTCAAGCCTATACTAATCATTGTGAGACCTACTAATAATGAACTAGGCATAAATTCTATAAGATGAAAACACATTTTGAGAAAGGAACATCTGCTCTCAAATATTTCCTGTTTCCATGTCAGTGCCACTTTTTAAAAAATTTTCCTTTAGAAAAATCAATATTCTTCCCAAGTCTAAACATGTCCTTTGAATGTGGACTGCTGTAATCATCGCTCCCCATAGAAATGTGATTGGCCCGAGGTGTGGAAACTTCCAGAGAACTTTTCAAGCTAAGAAAGTCTTTTCGTACAGATCTCTATGCTTCATGCTGCTAGTGCGTATGTCCTTGAGTTGAAAAATTATAGAAGAGAAAAGAACCATAAAGAATGAACCAGAAAAGACCTGGAGAGAGACCATTTCCTATGGAAATCCAAATATGTAGTTCCAAGTGTCTTTCAGGCTAATTCCTCTCTACAAAGCCCCTGTGTGTTTCCTATGCTTTGAATATGTAAGCCAATGTACTTAGTCATTTATTCACTTAATTTCAAACACTTTTCTGTCAACTGTAACCAGGTTTATTTTCTTATTAATCTCATTTCCTCAGAGTAGTCTTTCCTGATTAGGTGCCTAATAAATGCTCATGATGGGTAGTTTATATATCATCATAGCCCATTTATTCTCTTTGAAGTATATTTTAAAATCAGTACTTACTTGTTTATAATCTCTCTTCCTTACAAGAAAACAAAACAGGGATGTTGCTTTGTCTGTTTTGTTCATTATTACATCTGAAACACCTAACCCAGGGAGAAAACATTCATACCAGTTCTTACGTTCAGGAGAGTGCTAACCAAAGCTGTTAGCCCTTGATGTGGAGGAGTCACCTGACAATTTTTCACTGGAGTTGTACCTGCTTTCGGAAGCCCTGTCATGTTCAGCAGGGGCACCTCCTTGACCTCCAGCTGACTGCAGGGTATAAACAATTCCAGCCAAGAACAGAAAAACTGTTCAGAAGACTTGCAGACCGATTAGCAAAAACTATGTGTCCTATTGTGACCACTGAGGTATTGAGGACATGTAATGCATAGTGTTATGCCCTTCACTGCACATTGCTGCTATGATGATAGCCAACTGATGCAGTGGAAACTGAGCATGCAAATGAGGGCATCCTGTCCTACCCAACTGAAATAGAGCCAAGAAGTCCACAAGTCAAAATCATTCACATTCCAGATGAAGGTTTTCCACCCTGCCCAGCCAGGCCAGCAATAGCATGCTATGGGTTGATAAAAGCTGAATGCACCTAGTAACTGATGATGAAACAGCCTATATGAAATTAAAACTGGTCATGTTTAGTAGATGCTATCACCCATACAAATACTCAAAAAATTTAAAATCCAGATTTCAGACTTTTAAAAATGGAGGAAATAGTTATATTAGATGAGCAGTTTCATAAAAGAAAAAATACCTAATTTTAGTGTAAGAGCCCTTGTTTGATTTTTTACAATGGGTATAAACTGCTGTTTGTCTTTGTAAAAGACTTTATCTGTTGAGGACTTAAATGTTCTTACCTGTAAAATGGAATTAATAATAACTTCTTTTCAATCTAACTTGAACTGTAATCAGAATGCAATTAAATGGTTATGACAATTTACTTTATTTATTTATTTTTTTATAATTTCTTTTTTTTTTAAAGAGAGAGAGAGGAAAAAGAGAGAGAGAGAGAGAGAGAGAGAGAGA